GCCACGGCACCCAACGAGCGGTTGGGCCGCAGCGAGCCGGGGGCCACGGTGGCGCGGCACTGGGGGCAGGCGGCGGGGCGCGGCGGGACCCCCAGCACCTCGGCCATGCAGGGGCCGCAGAAGTTGTGGCCGCATTCGGTGATGACGGGCTCGGAGAAGAGCTCCAGGCAGACGGGGCAAGTGGCCTCGGCCTGAAGGCACTCGCCCAGCGCCAGCACGGCCCGCGCCATGTCTGCGGGAGAACCGCCGCTTCCCGGAAAGGGCGGGGAGGGGGGACGACGGCGCACGGTCTGCGCACATGTATGTGCGTGCACGCACGCGTGTAGGCACGTGTGTGTGTGTGTGTGTGCATGCAAGCGTGCTGGTGCACATGCATGTTGGCGCGTGTGCAGTCATGTGCATGTATGTGCGCAAGGGTGCTTGCGTGTGGATGTGTGCCTGCGTGTCTGCCTTTGCATGAATGTATGCATGTGTATTGGCACACATGTGTGTACGTCAGTGCATCTCTTTGTGCATATATGTGTGCGTGCATGTGCATATGTGTAGCTGTGTGTGCGTACTTGTGTGCCTTTGCATTGGCACGTGCGTACATGTCTGTGTGTGTATGCACGCACATGCATCTGTGTGCACATGGATGTTGTATGTAATGTGTGTATGTGCATACAGATCTGTGTGTGTACGTGTGTGTATGTGCAGGTGTACTTGTGTGTTGACATGTGCATGTATGTGGGTATGCATGTTTGTGTGTGCATGCGTGAACATGTGTTCGTGTCTGTACTGATGTGCTTGTGCACATGTCTGCACACATGTGCATGTGTACACGTGTGTGCACAGGCATGTCTGGGTGTACATGTGTCTGCATATATCTGCCTGTGTATGCATGTGTGTGGTGCATGCATGTGTGTAGTGTGTAGGGGTGTGTGTACACACGTGCAGGTGCGAGTGGTTTTGTACATGTGTGCCTTCATGTGAGTGCACATTTGTGCGTGGCCCTGTGTCTGTATGTACATGTATGTGTGTGCATGCATTTGTGTGTGTGTGTGCGCACACATGTATGGGCGCATGTGCCTGTGTGTGCGTGTCTCCATACACATATTTGGTTTTTGGTGTGTAGGTGTACATCTGTGTGTGTATCTGGGTGTATATAGGGGTACATATACATCTGTGTACATTTATGTGTCCATGTGTGTATCCATGTGTTTACATGTTTGTATGCATGTGTGTGTCTCCATGTCATTATGTGTGTGTCTGTGTTTGCATGTGTGGGGGTGTCTGTCTCTCCCTTTGTATGTTCATGCACCTGGATCTCAGCACACGCGTGTGAGCGTGTCTGTGTGTGCGTGTGCAAACCGGGGAGGAACAAGCAGGGAAATGCCAGCGGGGGGGGGGGGACAGGGCCCCACTGTGTGTGCATCTGTGTCTGCACACACGCGTGGCCGTGGGCAGCCCGTGGGAGCGGAGGTGATGCCGGCAGCCATAGCCCAGGGAGGAATGGTGCGTGTGTGAGGGTGAGTGTGAGTCCTCATCCCACCCTGTGCCGGGGCACTGGTGCAAGAGCCGGAGCGTGCCATGGGTTGCAGCGGCCGTGCTCTCCAGCAACGCTGCCCAGCAGCTCCCGGACAGGGAGGCCCCTTGAACCCCATGGGACACCCAGCCTGGAGCCTGCTGCTGGGTTTTTGCCCTCTGTGCTTTATAAATTATTTAAAAAAGGGATGCTGCAGTTCCTCGGAGCAGTCAGAGCCCGCCTGGGTGGCCACAGCTGCAAGCCGGCACGCCTCGGCACAGTGCTGCCAGCCGCTTTGGATGCTCTGGCTGCTTAAATAAATTTAATCGTTTCTTACCTGAAACGTGCCCGGGAGCGCTGGGGAGCTTCGCCCCATCTCGGGCCATCGTGGGCGGGTTGGAGGTGTGGAGCGGGATCTTTCCCGAGGCCTCATGCTTGCAGGAGCCGCTTCCCACCCGCCGGGGTTGGGGCTTAATGCAGTTTAAGGGATTGTGTCAGTGCAGCAGCTGTGACATGCAGGAGCCGAGTGTAATCCGGTCTGTGAGCCGCTTCCCCAGGGCCAGCTATCTTCCCGCACGCCGTTGGCCCCCTTCTTGCACGCGTGAAATCCCACCAAACCGAGCGGCCGCCTTGGGGCAGGGGGGCTCTGGCTCCCATCCCCGCACCCCACAGCCGCCGCCAGCTCTCACAATGTCTCCTTTGCTCTCGCCCCAGCCCCCAAAACACCCAGAGGGCAGCAGCGGTGCTTAGGGAAGAGGACCCCCCCTCCTCAAATCAGACCCCCCGAGTTCAGCTGTTGGTTCTGCTCCTCTGCCACCCTGGTGTGCTGCCAGCCGGGGCCCAAGGAGCGACCCTGGCATTTTCGGGGGCACCGCGCATCCCTGACGTGCTGAAGGCAGCTGGGCAATAAAGCAGTCGAATAACCCCCCCTCCCCAGGTGGTTACAGCCCTGCCGGGGGCTGTGCCCTCCCAAAAACCCCTGCCACCCCACCGCCTGCTTCCCCGCCACAGCGGGTCCCCAGACTCCATCCCGGCGGCTGCGGCACGATGCTTTCAGCCCCCTGCTCGCCGTCGTTGCGGCATCCCGGGGTGACAGCCTGGTCTCCCCGCTCAGCCGGAGCCTCTGGGCTGCAGTGCGGGCTGGTGCTGGGGTGCTGCCGGGAGGGGGGTACGCTGCCCATATTACACCTAAACAGGGACAGTGGTGGCTCCTGCTTGTCCCCTGTCCTGGGGGCTGCTGCCTTCTGGGGGCAGCCGCATCCAGCTCCCCTGGCACCCTGAGCTAGGAAGGCCTAAGCCCCCCCAAACCTGTGGGGATGCGAGCCCTCGAAAAGTCAGTCCTGCTGTGGGATGGTGCCCTTAACCCCCACGGTTGAGCGGTGTTTTAGCTGAGGGCCGTGCAGCTTTCAACGCTCCCTGAACAAACCTACCTGCAATTAAGCGGAGGGCGCGGATAACCTGCAGACGACTCGGGGTCGCGGCACGTGCCACCCCCAGGTTTGTGCCCTGCAGCACCGCCACCTCTGCATTTTTTTTCGCTGCTGCTGCCACCCCGAGCTCGGCACCGGCTGGGGGCCACGATGGCCACGTTGTCCCCTCCCGGCGTGGGAGCTGTGGCTGCAGACAGGTTGTTGACATTCAAGCCGCTGAAGGTCACCTGGATGTGTTTAAATCCTGGCAGTGTCCGGCAACCGCCGCCTTCACACGCGTGCACGGCCGGCGAGGAGCAGCAGAAGCGGGGGAGCGGTCGCTGCATGGGGCCCGGTGACACCAAGCAGAGCGTGGGTGCTGCCAGCCCGGCCATGCCGAGGCGAGGAAGGAGTTGCCGGTCCCCAAGGCTCCCCGGGCAGGTCCCGGCACTGCGGCGGGGCAGCCGGGCTCCCTTTGCTAGTAGGGGCACCTAAGTGGCTGCTTTGCCAAAAAAAAAAAAAAGCCGAATCCATCCATTTTTGGGAAGAAAAAAAGGACCTTGCTGGGTCCGCGGCACTGCCAGCATGATGAACACGAGCTGCTGAGAGCCAGAGTCGGTTCTGCTCTTCATTTCTTCATTCCCTCTAATTGCATTTAGCCCTGATGAGGGGGATGTGGGGAGGCTGCTGAGGGGCATGAGGCAGCCAGCCGGGCAAGGGGCTGCAGCCAGGCCCTCCAGCATGTCCGTCACAGCATGTTTAACCCATGTCAGACTGCACACTGGGACCTGGGACCCCAAACTGCTCCCAGGGAGTTTCAGGCACCACCCCAGCAGCGGGAACACAGGAACCTCGGCTGCAGCCTGCCCTGGCAGCCCCGAAATTGCTTCTCTCCACGGTGGTGACCGGCCAGCAGCTCTCGGCAGCTCCACGTGGCTGCGCTGCCCTCGGGCGCTTTCTAGCATGGAAGAGGCTGTAAATTACAAATTTAGGAGGGGTTCATACACACGGGAAGTGCTGGAGCGAGGACTGTGGTTCTGCAAAGACATTAAGAGGTCCCGACAACTTATCCCATCATCACTCTGTTTATTGATGCCACTGTCCAACATGAGATCCGACACCGCCTTCCCCATGGCACCCATCGGCCAGAAGCCCGGCGCGCACCGGGAAGCTGGCGTCACCGCTCCGGCCACCGCCCGGCCCTTTGGGTGCATCTCACCCAGCCGCAGCCCAACCACGGGAGCTGCGACGAGGGATGAGCCGGGACTGCGGAGAACTGAGCCGCTGGAGATGGGAGCTCAAACCAACAGGAGGAGACTGGCCTGTGTCCCACCCGCCGCGACTACAGCCATGGCCACGTGGCGAGGGACCCCGGCACCGGGTGCCTGGGAGCCGGGAGGTCTCCCGCAGGCAGCCCCGAGATGGCCGGGGCTTTTCTTGGAAGCCAGCCCAGGACCCGCTCCTCTGTCTGGGGCAGGAGTCCTGCTGCTCCCGCCGCTGGGGAGCGTGTGGTCAATGCCACCGGCAAGGGCAAGGGCGGCCCACTCGCCGCAGCGCGTTTCCAGGAGAGCAGAAGAGCAATTAAACAGGTCAAGGTCTTGTGCACAGGTACATGGTGACCCCACGGCACCCCGCGGCAAGACCCTCATCTACAAACCGCTCCCGCGTCTCGCGCTGGCCGGCGATGCCTTCGGTGCAGCTCTCGTGGCGGCGGGAGGGCCGGGCACCTGGGGTCACCGCTCGCCGGAGAGGTGTCTGCTGCTGCGGAAGGATTAAGTGCTAGAAATGAGTGTTTGGAGGAGCCTTGCTGATGGGGTCCTACCAGAAAAAGGTTCTTTTACTGCAACTAGTATTTTATTCTATTGTATAATTCAGGAGTGCATCACAGCCCCGAGAGCCGGGCAGGCACCTATCAGCGCTTCAAATCTAGACACACGGAGAACTTCCTCGTCATCTGGATCTATTTATTACTCACCTCCCCCTGGCCGGGAGCTCCTTGTCGCCACACGCTGCCGAGCGGCTGTCGCGTCCAGCCTGGAAAGCTGGGACGAGGCAGCGCCTCTGCAGAGCTCCTGGACAAAAGTGACTGTGCCAGAATCAGCCTACAGAGCATTTTAAAAAAAAAAAAAAAAAAAAAAAAAAAAAAAAAAAAAAAAATCTTGGTGATCCTAAGTTTGCTTATCAAATAAAAAGTTCCTCCACATTTATTAAAAAAACCAAACAGTAGATTTAAAAAGCAGTTAAGAGTCCTACTCCGGCAAAACACCCTGTACAGGTTTCTTTTGTCGTTGGTTTGTTTGCTTTTCTCTGATGGTGAGGATTTCCCCTAAATCAGCTGCTTCTGTTAATTTTATATATATATAATCTTTTAATTTTGCCGCGCGTTGCTTGCTTTAATTAATTAATTTATTTCCAATCAGCCTAGCCGTCTCCACCAGACCAGCGGCGCTACCACACAAAGCTTCCTTGATGTCCATGCCCTGAGCCGGGGGTGGGGGTGGGAGGGACGGAGACAGAGGGAGGGTGGGAGAGATGAGCGGAGGAGGAGGAGGAGGGCCGGAGGGAGAGAGGGGAGGGAGAGGAAGCCGTCGGCAGCCCCTCACTCTCCCATGTGCGTCCTCAGGTGGTACTTGAGGGACTGCTTGTAGCGGAAGCACTTGGTGCACTCGGTGCAGGGGTAGGGCCGCTCGCCGGTGTGCGCCCGCTGGTGCTCCAGGAGGTGATGCTTCTGGGTGAAGTTCTTGCCGCACTCGGTGCAGTGGTAGGGCCGCTCGCCCGTGTGGATGCGTTGGTGCTCCAGGAGATGGTGCTTGCGGATGAAACCCTTCCCGCAGACGGCGCAGGCGTGCGGGCGCTCCCGGGTGTGGATGCGGTAATGGTTGGTGAGCTTGGACTTCTCGCTGAAGGTCTTCTCGCACTGGCTGCACTGGTAGGGCCGCTCGCCGGTGTGAGTCCGCTGGTGCCGCAGGAGGTGGGAGGGCCGGGTGAAGTTCTTCCCGCACTGGGGGCAGAGGAAAGCCATCTCGCTCTTGCCGGCGTGGATCCTCTGGTGCATGATGAGGCTGATCTGCAAGCGGAAGCTCCGCCGGCACTCGCCGCAGGTGAAGGGCCGCTCCCCGACGTGGGTGATCTGGTGTTTGCTGAGGCTCGACTTGTGGCTGAAGCTGCTCTCGCACTCGGAGCACTTGTAGGGCTTCCCCGGAGGCGGGGGCCGCGGCTGGGGCTTGAGGCCGTGCTCGGGGCGCCGGGGGACCCCCACGCCCCGGCGCGTGTGGCTGCGCTGGTGCAGCAGGAATTGCTGCTTGTTGCGGAAGCTGAGGTCGCAGTCGTGGCACTCGTAGGGCCCTTCCTTGAGGTGGTTGCGCTGGTGGATCATGAAGTTGATCTTGAGCATGAAGCTCTTCCCGCACTCGGGGCAGATGTAGGGTCTCTCCCTCGTCCGGTTCCGCTGCTGGGCGATAGCCGGCTTCATCTCCCCGGAGTCCCTCTCGCAGGCGGGGGGCTTCCCCACGCGGGCGGCCGCCAGGCTCCTGGGCTGCGTTTTGGAGCTGCACTGCGCCTCGCAGCCCAGCCCGGCCTCGTGGCTGGGGAACGCCGGCGGCTCGGTCCTGCCCGAGAACATGGCGCACGGCTCCAGGGTGTCGGGGTCGTCCTCCTCCTCCTCCTCCTCCGTCTTGATCACGATCCCGTCCTCTGAGAGGGAAAATGGGAACAGCGTTAGGGTCATCGGGTGGGACGGGGTGGCCTTTTATACACCTGGGGGTTGCTACAGAAACATCTGCCTGGGCTTCTGCGGCTGTTTGCACCTGCCTGCCTGCTCTGCCCGACCACCTGGACGCGAGCCAACTGCGGCCCGGAGCCCTGCACCTTGGGACGGGGCACGTCCTCTCACGGTGGCAAGGCGAGCCGGTGCAGCCCCCGACGTGGAGGACAGACAAACCGCCTCCTGGACAGGCTCCTTCCTTCGGAGGGTGCGGCGAGGCCTGCCCCGTCAAAAGGTTTTGCAATTCACGATGCTACGAGACAGGGGATAGAAGTGCCATCGATTTGCGAGAACTCAGGCAGCCGAACGATTTCAGAGCAGCTCCATCTGCTGCCGTTTCGCTGGGCTACAGCAACACTTCCTACACCTGGCATGGCACTGCTTGACGGAAACACAGCAGAGGGCTGCCGGCCTCCAGCTCCGCTCCCGAGACGACGTGCCCAGCCTGGGACCGTCTCTTCTCTTCAGCCTCGCCACGACGGGGCACAGGGAAAGACCCCTCTCCTTCCCAGAGGCAAAGAGCGGTGGGATGGATGGCCGCACATCAGGCTCCCCCCTCCTTGTACCACCGACGCCGGAGGTGACCTGGTGTTTTCGTTTGGCGAGACTGGCCCTACCAGGAATGTGCGCAGCAGGACGCGCAGCCAGCGCGCCCCGAGGAAAGGCCCACATTGGATCCCTCGCACGTCACCTCACGCTGGACTTTGAGCCAGGCGTATGTACTTTTCTAGGAAGAGCAGCCACGCTTTCCCAAGAAGGGGCAGCCGATGGGAGGGGGGATGTATCAAAGCCGCGGCCCTCTCCCCTCCGATGGAGGGGTCAGTGGGGAAAACCCGCATTCCCAGGTCCTCCTTCCCACCTCCTCGCAGCAAGGAGATTCCCCTGTACGGACATGGGGGCTACCGCTGCTCGAGCACTGGCCACCGGCACCCGCACCCTGCTCAGAGCGTTGCTGCAGCTCCCACTCAGCCCCACCAGCCGGGGCCCGGCGCGTTGGCAGAGGTGCCGGCTCTCAGACGAGGATCGGCTCCAGCCCCATTGGTGGCTTGGCTGGTTTCCTTTAGAAAACTATGAGGAGACCACAGGATCCACGAGACGGGAGTTGAGGAGGACCTCAAGAGCCCAACTCTTATCTTTCTTGGTTTGTGTTACACCATCGCGAAGCTGTCAGAAGGCAGGGAACCTGCCGTTCCCAACAGCCCATCTCCCTGCTTTCCCATCTCCACCCTCTAAGCACACCTGTAGGACCTGGCCCGTATCCGCCACCTGACTGGCAGACGTCTACACTTCAAGTGCCCACTGCCATCTTCTCATCTCATCACTAAATAACCTCACCCTTCCCCTTCCCTCCTGGCAGCTCGCACACCACAGACCTCCGGCCACCCTCCTCCTCGTCCTCCAGACCTGCCCTAAGGGACCCCTGCGCTGGTCGATGTGCTGGACCCCACACGTTCCTCCAGCAGTCTCTGGTGCGTAAGCATCTGAGCGGCTTACACCATTCCTCCGCACGACAAACACCAGGGCAGGAGTCCTCAACTGATGTCCTGCCCTCTTGCAACGGCAGGATTTTGGCAGCAAGGGCTCACTGGGGCTCTCATAAAACGCTGCCCGAGACATGTCTTCCCTTGGTCTCTGTGTGTAACAAGGGCTTTTCCCACCCGCAGAGGACTGAGCCACTGCTCGCTCCGCTCTGGAGCAGGTCAGGTACCCTCAGAGAGCACACTCTGACGTCCACCGCGTCTGTGCTGCCTCCTCCTCCCAGCCTGAGGTCTGACCGCAGCTGCTCTTGAGGTTGCAGCAGCCAGAAACTTGCCTTCTGGTGCCAATTCGGGGGGGATTTAACCCTTCTTTTTGGTCCAACCTGTTCCCCACCTTTGCCTCACCCACCACAGCCCCTCCTGGGCCTCCTGTCCCCACGACATGCCACGTGCTGTGGAGCCACGTGCCGAGCGTCTCACCTGTGCAGCTCCCGTGGTGAACGATGACTCTCTGGATCTCGTTGAAGTCAGCTACATATTCGGACGAGTCACCCAGGCTGGTTCCCGGGAGGTCCCTCGGAGGGGAGACGGAGCCGTAAGGGCTCTCGCAGGCTGCCTCCTCGTCCGGACTCTGGAAGCTCCCCTCCGACTGCCCTGACATCCCGTGCAGCTCAGGGTTTTCGGGGCTGTCTTCAGGAAGGAGCTCCTCCGTTTTGATCACAACCCTTATGCCAGCTGCAGCAAAGAGAGATTCCCACCCGCCATCATTCCCAGGAGCCAGGACGAAGAAACCGCTCGCGACAATCCCCGCCGGCTCCCCGCGGGCTGGCTCTGGCTGCTGATCCTGCAGAGGGGTTTCATTTGCTCGGCCACTTCTGCTCTCCCTTCAGCCCCTGCCCTTCAGCCATCCCTGCCACGCTCCTGCCTCTCGCCTGGGATCCTCCGCAGGCACAGGGGACTCGCTCTGCCCGGCCCGAGGACTCGGTGCCTGCAGCTCAGCACCCCTCTGCCACCCCACATCCCCCAGCAGCAGCGCTGGCCCGGCAGCTCCCTGTGGGCAGAAGATGATTTTTCTCTTCCCATTGGCCTCAATTTAACTTCAAGAGCCTCATGACCAAGAGCACAGGCAGGGGGTCGGAGCGACCCCGTGTCCGGGGCCCAGGGCCAGAGACCAGCAGCAAAGCTGACACCGTCTCTTCTAGGACACCTCCTTATCTCCTTATCAGCTCCCCTTATCTCAGAGCAGAAGTCGCTCCAGGACTCGAGGTCCCTGGTGCCTCACTCCCAGCCCTGCCCTTGGAGAAGCCCCTCAGCACGCCAGATCCCTGCGCGGATCCCAGGCTTCCCTGCCCCGGAGGGATGATGCTCCAAGGATAAACCCAGGCACCATCCACACAATCAGAGAGGGTGGAGAGGATTTTTTGGGTGGATGGATTTTCCCAACGGGACCCGATTCTCCTTTCTTGCTGGGCACACCGGCTCCTCGAGGACCTGGGCCAGTTGCAGATCCTTCCCTTGCTGATGGCTCCTAGTGCCCAACTCTCCGGGCTCCACTTGCCCTGGTTTATATGTCAAGCTGTACCTGGACATCAAATCTCTAATTAGCCAAACCTTTCCCGCTCGTATGCAAGGCTCCTCCTGATAACCTCCTCAGGCACAGCTCTCAGCAACACTTAGCCTCGGGGGGGGAGCAGCTCCTCTGAACACAACCTACGGCTCCCCTTGCGCTAAGCTGCCGTCTCACCTGCGGTGGCATCGGTAATGATCTCGCTCTCCTCCAAGTCCTGCTCGTTCCTGACCCGCGATTCCTCTCCTTGCTCGATCTGAGACAAAACACCAGGTTTGGAAATTGCATAGTCTGTTGAGAGACAGAGGGATGGAGAGAGGGATTACTGCACAGGGAATCCTGGTATCGACTTCCACCTCTCCCCAGCACCCAGGGGGACACATGAAGACACTTGGGAACATCCACAAAGGGTCTGCAGGCAGAAAAGCACAGTGCTGCAGGCTGGCTGGCCTCCCCGGATGGGCAGAAGGGATTCAGGGAGACAGGAGCTGAGGTGCCATACACAGAGGAACCAACTTTGAGAAGAAACTCGACCTGTGTGTTTTTCTGGAGGGGTCTTAGAACTTCTCAGGCAAATGCCTGGCTCTCCGGAAACCAAAAGCATTTCACCTCTGGCCCCAGCAGAGCCGGGATTTCTCCTGCAGCTTCAGTAGGAAATGCCCCAAAGGAGCATAGCTAAGACCGCATCAGTTTTCCCCCCCGCAAAAGCTTCCTCTAAAGGGGCCCGTGGGCTGGTACCCGCCGCAGATCCAGAAGATGAAGAGAAGCCCTTCCAAAACCCACGGGGAAGGTGCTGGTTTTTCCACCAAGTAACTCTGGCTGGACGGGGCCCCGGGAGGTCTCCAGCCCACCTGCCCGCGGGCGTCCCCCACTCAGCCGGGACAGCATCTCAGCCCGAGCTGGGAATGAACCCAGGCACTGCCAGAGGGATGCCCCGACCTGGACTAGAAACATCCTCCTGTGGTTTCAAGTCTCCTTTTAAAATGGGACATTTGGGTCTCAAGGGGATCCGAGGGGATCCCCAAGGAGGAGTCGGAAGGTGCCCAAGCCTGTGCGCAGCCAGGAGCCCCAGAGAACCTGCCTTCACCAGGGTGAGGACACCCCGTATTTACCCAGGGAGATCAGCGACTCATAGTTCCCCTTCATCACGTTCTTGTACAGCTCCTTCTGCCACTCCTCCAGCTTCTCCCATTCCTTGTCATTGAAATAGACGGACACGTCATCAAACGTCACCGGCACCTGCAATCACAAGCAGCACAGGTTCAAGCGGCTGTCTCGCTCCCCGAGAGCCCAGCGTGTTATCTCCGGCTGGCAGCGCAAGCAGCTTGCTCCTGCTCGGACACGGCCAGGCTTCGGCTACTTCATGGCCATCAACAAGTTGGTTTTTATATTTAGAACAACTCCTGGACGAGCATTTCTAGGAGATTAAAGGTCTCGGCCAAACGGCCAGTTGCCAGTGGTGAACTCAGACTGTGATTTCCCCAAACGACACCGACCTCCTCCTCTCAGTCCCTGCACTGGCAGGGACAACTCTCCAGAGGTGACCAGGCTTGCACCCGCCTGGAGGGAACATAAAGGAGATAAAAATCGGGCACTGGGGCTGGACCTCATCTCCATTGATGAGCTGACGTAAAACCCCAGATTCAATTACCCCAGAACTCGAGGGAAAACTCTACCCGGGCCTGAAGGGCTCCCAGTTATCATTAGTTATTGTGTGCAAATTGGCTGGGAGCAGACTGCAGCTTTCAAGCCTGTTTGCCGAGTAATAATTTCTAAGGATAAATTCAGGATGCGCAAGCTGTGCTGCGTTTGGATGGAGCTCTTCAGACGGAAACGCAGTGCTCGGCTTCTGCTCCTTGACTGCACTAATGGGGTGTTGGGGCCTGAACCCCCTTTTTCCAGACCCCCTCCGCTCTCTCCGGCGATGTTCACTTTGCGATGTCCCACATGGTCCCATCTGCAAACTTTCCTTTAGCGAGAGGGTCATGAAATGGAAGTTAGGAACTTAATGTTGACGGTGGGCTCCTTCTGATGCTCGGCAAAGCCCAACTGTGAGCGCGAGAAGCTCGTCCGCCTTCCCCCGAATCCCAGAGGTTCCCCCCTTCCCCACAGCAGCAGCTCCTTCCCCAGCCCGGGAGACCCCCACCACAGCGCCAGGGTTGTAAAAGAAATGGTGGTTAAAAAAAACAGAACCACCAAATCTGCAGGGTTTCTCTCTCTCAAAAAAAAAAAAAAAAAAAAAAAAAAAAAAAAGTCAATCGCTCCCGGGCTGCGCAGCGCAGTGAAGAAGAACCGAAACCTCTGGCCTGAGCACGGAGGGATGTTCCCCTCGGGCCCATCTCCCACCACACGGGGGTCCCAGCCGGGGAGATGCCGGGAAGCTGCGAGGGGCAGCTCCGCTGCCTCCAGGTCCCGACGGGGAGCCACTCACCTGCGCCGGGGCTCTGCCCGCTCACCCGCTGCATCTCCCCCCCCCATCCTGCCCTCCATGAGCGTTTTGGGAGCTTTTCGGGTGCAGATCCGGACTCCTGCACCCCAAGACACCGTTACCTTGGGGACTTCCCCCTTCCTGCCCGGGGGCAGCCGCAGGATCCAGAAATTCCTGTTCTTCAGCAGGTTCTCCATGTTCTCCAGGCGCCGCTGGAGCAGCCCGTACTCCTGGATGAGGGTGCCCAGCGCCGCGCACTTGCTCTCCAGCTGGTTCCCCAGCTCCGTCGCCGTCTTCTCGCAGTCGATCAGCTTCTTCTCCGCCATCCCCGTCCGACCCTCCAGGTCAAGCAGGCGGGTGGAATGAGAGTCCACCTTCCTCTCCACCGCCTGCACGGCCGCCACCACCGTCAGGGACAGCTCGGCCGTCTGCGTCTCCCGCTCCGAGGTACGCTCGGCACCGGCCACCGGCCGGAGGGGCGAGGGGCAGCGCGGTTGCAGCACCGGCTCCGGCGCCTGCGGGCAGAGGGGT